TTACTACGTAGTACTTCCTCTGTTCCGAAACGATGGAGACACGTATGAACCACGATATGGTAGTGAAAGTGCCGAGCATCTAAGTGAACACAATTGAATTTTACGTTCATCCTTCAAGTCTTTTCAAAGCATTCCCTCTCCAAGTCTCTAAGGTTATGAGCCCAACGACCACGCATCTGAAAGAAGAGAAGTCCAACTCTCTCGTCTTCGCCGGCGCAAACTTCAACATCTACAAGGTGCGCATCCAGGCCAAGCTCCGCAGCAAAGGCCTGTGGAAAGTTGTGAGCGGCGAAGAAACGGGCGAGGAAGCCGAGGATGACGACGACTACGACTCCAAGGAAGACAGGCCTTCGATATCCTCGTCAACTCCCTCGACGACGATAACCTGGCCTATGTGTCTCACGTGACAATCTCCAAGGCAGTGTGGGACCTGCTTGTGAAGCGTTACGAAGCCTGAACGTATGCTGATGTGTCCCACATCATCCACGAGTTGCACACGAAGTTCTACACCCCTCGCTCGTCAATGCAGAAGCATATCACGGACCTGCGCAGCCTCCAACAGAAGCTATTCCTTATGGGATCTCGTGGGTGACGAAATGCTCGGACGAATTCTGCTGACCAGCGTCAAGGAAGCCTTCCCGACGACGGTGGAAATATTGCGCAGCCGTGAACCGTCTCCGACTCTCGACCAAATCATCAACCGTCTGTTGTCCAAAGAAGATGAGGTCAAGAGTGGGACGTATACGAAGCGCAAGATGGACAGCGACCAGCTGCTGTACACGGGCAAGCCGGACAACCAAGGGCCTTACAAGAAGAAGCAAGCGGTCAAGAACAAATGCCACTACTGCCACAAGATTGGGCATAATGCATTCGATTGTCGGTACAAGAAGCGGAATTTGGCCAAGGGCGTGCAACGCAAGTGCATACCGACTCAAGACGAAGACCAGATCAACGTACTTCAACACGGCGATGAAGAAGGATTCATTTTGGCCACAACAGACGATTTCTCACGATCATTCCTTGAAGACGTATGGATCCTGGACAGCGCTTGCACAGCAGATGTCACGGGAAACAAGGCCCTGTTTACGAAACTGGCTCGTTCTCAGCTCTCTGCCCTGCAGCTGGCCGACAACTCGACGGTGCAGTCCATGCACACGGGTCTGCTGTCGATTCAAGTGGACGAAGACCATCGACTCGACCGCCCCAAGGCCAAATACGTTCCCAATCTCAAGAAAAACCTCTTGTCTTTCCGACTGCTGCTCAAGGATGGATTTCAAGTGGCGAAATTGGACCTCGACGTGGCGGTTCTGATCCGAGACACGTTTGTCCTGAGGTTCACTCATCACCGCGGGCTCTACGTTCTGCAATCATATGCCGATCAGCTCAACAGCTGTCTTGTGCGACAGCCAGCACCCAAGCTGGTCCAGTGGCACATGCGGCTGGCTCATCTCAACTTCGGAACCAACAAGGAAGCGGCACGTGACGGTACCTTGGAAGGATTATGCCTGTCCAAGAACGATTTGGCGAAGTGTGTGAAGTGGCCAAAGCCCGTCGGATGAGTTACAAGAACACCAAGCCATACCGCACACATGTTCCGCTTGAGCGCGTGCACGTGGACAAAGGCGGGCCGATCAGTCCCGCAACATACGGTGGGAAAAGGCACTACGAGTTGTACGTTGACGAAGGCACTCGTTTCAAGCAGCTGTTCCTTCTCACTTCCAAATCGGAGACCTTTGAGAACTTCAAGACGTTCCAAGCGCTGGTGGAGCGGTAACACGGCTTCAAGCTCAAGACCATCATGTCGGACAACGCGAAGGAATACCAATCCAAGGAACTCAACGCGTACTGTGCCGAGCTGGGGATCGAGCAGCTCTTCACGAACGCGTACTCCCCGGAAGAAAACTGCGTCGCGGAGAAGGCCAACTACACGGTGATGAACAAAGTGCGCTGCATCCTCCAAGCAAGCGGCATGGACAACCGGTACTGGGGTGAAGCGCTCGGCTACGTGGTTTACACGAAGAACCGAAGTCCGACCAAGGCTCTCGGCGGCAAGACCCCCTTCGAAGCTCTGTACGGCCGCAAACCGAACGTCGAACATCTCCGACCCTTTGGCTGCACAGCGTTTGCGTTCGTCGACAAGGCCAAGCGTACCAAGTTGGACCCAAGAGCGACCAAGTGCATTTTTCTGGGATACACGAGCCAGCACAAGAGCTATCGGCTTGTTGACTGCGAATCGGGCGAGCTGTTCCAATGTCGCTCGGTCAAGTTCATGGAAGACTTTGCGCCTACCGACGACAAAGCTGTGCAGTTCGACGACCAAGTTTCGGCCATCCAGCCCGACGACACCGACCCAATTGACGACGCAGCGGCGGCGCATCCAAGGCAGGACAACGTCAAGGACTCAGTGGGAGCAGCGGAGGTGCCATCTAAAGACGGGAAGGACGCCGCCAACGAGATTGATCCAAGCCCTGTTGTTGACGAGGAAGAGCCACTGCAGCTTGGTGACGAGGCCATTTCGAGCGACCACGACTCAAGTGACTCCCACGTCGAATTTGTCGACCCAGCGGGACTGGAGGCTATCTCTGGCGGCCATCACCAAGTGTTTTCCGTCGATGTGATCAAGGACACACCGCAATCGTTCGCGGACATCGAAGCAAGTCCCAACAAGCAAGGATGGCTGGACGCGACTCAAGAAGAATACGACTCGTTGGTCAACAACGGCACTTGGACCCTGGCGGCGCTGCCCCCTGGACGCAAGGCGTTGCCTTGCAAGTGGTTTTGGCGCAAGAAATTCGACGCCGTGGGCCGCTTTACCAAGTACAAGGCTCGCCTGGTGATCAAGGGATTCATGCAGCGTTACGGCCTCGACTACGAAGAAATCTTCGCGCCGGTGCTTCGCTACAACACGCTGCGCTTGGTCCTCTC